CTCTATCTCTCTTGGCGGGGTAACTTGAGAAACTGTTTGGAATAAGTTTGCCTATAGAAGTCTCTTCATTAAATAGAGCAAATATTTCCCAAAGACTTCATGTGACCTCCACTGCTATAGCTGACATGTTAGGCTTTCCAATGAAATCCTTGGTGTGTTTGCAATTTAAATGTTTTTATTTGATATTAATGATGATAAGCTTGACTAAGGCCAAAGCCAAAACAAACAGGGCTGTGGAAGCAGAAAATCAAGATGTTAATAACTTGGTAAAGATAAGCAATTTGAGATTAAAACTGAGCCTCTTTCCAGAGGCAGGCATGAAGTTATCAAGTATAAAATAACGAGTGACTTTCTCTTTTATGTTACTATAGAAATAATTTGTAGAATGTCAAATGTCAGCTTTCTGAAACTAACTTAATCATCACACCTGGATCATTGAGTTTCAAGCCTGAACGTAGTGGAAATCCACTTATGTCTAATGGACTCATTTTTTTTTTTCAGACTCTTTCATATGTTTTTAGGGTGGAGGTGTGGTGCTAAAATTCAATGTTCTCAAGTCCTCTTGAGACTGGCAGAGAAGTCCTGGGCTGCTAAAATGACCTCTATCCCTATTAAGACATTTCTTAACTCAAAGTTACAATTTACCCATCTGTGCTTTCCTCTTAGTAATATTTTATCCCTTTTATTCATCTCAAAACCTTCCTCCTACAACACCTTGTCTGGAAAAAGTATTTTTTAAAAATTTTTAGTTTAAACTTTGAATATCTCATTTCCTACTCTAATGCATTATTAGTAAATTAGCAATAACATGGCATTTCCTCAAAGAGCTAAGCCATCAAGACATTTCCCCAACAGACTCCTCCAGTCACTCCCTTAAAGTCAGAAGAAGTGTTGCAAAAGATGACCCTCCTTCCTAGAGGTTTCATTCTGAAAAGCAATTTTTTGCAAGCCTAGTTCAGAGTCAGCCTGTGAGACGGGATGCCTATGCCATGTGCTGGAACAAAGATAACGCTGCAAGGACTGGCTACTTTCTCTACTCTCAAGGCTGCTAAAAGTCCTTACTCAGGCCTTTGATCTCTCCTGGGAGTCTTCGAATTCAAGCAGAGGCCAATGTCTTCCTCAGCTGTCTTCTCCACAAATTCTTCCAGCAGCTTTGGCAGGTACTAATGTGTTTACTTAGGTGTGCCTGGTTCCCAGAGCTAACAGCGGTTTGAAATTGTTTAGCACGTTGTTACGTCAGATATAATAAGCAAACATTTCAAGAACAACTCCCTTGGTCCAGGAGTTGATAAGGGTCTCAGGTAGGGGCAGAAACGAATTGAAATGAACTTATCTTCCTATGTATATTTGATTTCTCCTGCTAAGAGAAGCATGGAGAATTTTCAATTGTGCAGAATTCCTAGGGTGGGCAAATTTTACTAAAAAAGGAAGCTCTAAGCATCATTTTGCTGGTGTGGTCTGTCCATCAACACTAGGATTGTTGCCATAATGGTTAAACTAAAATACGTTCTCTTTAAAAAAAAAAAAACTTGATGATTACTTAAAGGTCTTTGCAATTAATACCTGCTTACAAGTCTAAATTGTAAGAAAATTAAGCATGTGTTTATTTTTATTCAGAATGTAAAATGACACAAAAATTTAAAAACATTATATCTGTTGACACTTCACCAGAACCTTGGTGGGCATTCATTTATGACACCCAGCTGGGCTGAGTTTTCCTCCCATCATCTGACTACCGTGATACTTTCCTAGCAGACAGTCAGTGTTGGAATATCATTTCTAACAACCCGTTTACATATTAGACAATCTTGAGTTTTCTCTGCATGGAAGACATCCACTTCTCTGGAGAAATAGTGGAAAACAGTATTTTCATTCTTTTCTATGAGAAGCAAAAGCCAATCTAGTCTGATTTTGAGAAGAAGAGGCCACCCAGATGAGCACTGTAAACGACCTATTTTTAAAAAAGTAAATTTTAACTGTTTTCATACTTCTCTGTTCAATTTTCCCACTCAAAAAAAATTTTTTTTTCCTCTGTCTCGTTCACTCAGTTTTGCATTTTCCCCACCCACGGTCTTTCTTGGGAAAAGAGCAGGGGAATCTCTCCCGAATTAGGGGAGCCCAGCCATCTTTGAGGCGCTGGCTCCCTGCCTTCTTTGTATCCTGCCTCCCGTTTTTTGATCTCTTTCTCTTCTCGCCCCTGACAGAGGTCTAAAAGTTTTGTTTCGTTTTTTTAACTTTGGTGCTCTGAGATCCTATTTTCAGCACTCGGGTCCCAAGGGTCCTCAACCCTGGACCCTGTTTCCCCCCTAGCAAGTCCCATTAAGCCGCCGGGCGCTTGTGTTTTCTCGGCTTCTTTAGTTCCACTCACCCGCGGCACTCTGGTAAATTTGTTTGAGATCACCTTACCAAAGACAGCCCTAACCTCTGAGAACCACCGTTCCTGACAGAGCTTCCTGAGTGACAGCGTCTTCCCAGCCCGGGAGCCGAGGGAAAGCTGTTGGGGACCGGCGTTTGCAAGTTTCTGCTCTGGAGCGTTAAGGACGCGCAGTGAGAACAAATTGATTCAAGAAAAAAACAAACGAAATTCACCTCTAGGAGCACAAACTCTCCACGGGGAAGCCTAGTTTCCAATTCTGTGTGACCGGGGGCAAATGACTTACTCCTTGAGCTTGGTTACCTTCTTTTAATAATGGGTCCACTTACAGTTGCCACAAAATTGTTGTAAGTCATAAACGAGTGAATACATGGAAAGGGTTGGGAAGAGTGCTTGGCAAATAGAAAATTCTTAATAATTGTTTGCTCCACACATGCAACGCTGAGCAGTTTGGGTACAAAGCACATTAGGTGCCTGGTGGAAAGAAATCAGCTGAAAGGCAAGGTAACTTCTATCTTCCGCTTAAAGTTTATTTGTGCCCAAATCTTAAATCTGCACACAACTCAGTTTTAGCTTCAACCAGTGTGTGAACTTCTGGACTCTCTAGGCAAAGAAAATGGTACTACTGCTGCTGACCAGAACCCTCTAGGCAAAGAAAATGGTACTATTGCTGCTGACCAGAACCTGTGGGACTTGGCTGAGAATTCCCAGATGAGAATATCTACCCACTACTGTGTTTCAGAGGTAGCAATGTGCTTGGTTTGGAATGTTTCCACCCACCCGGATGAGTCCTTTAGGAACTTAATTCTTTTATCTGGTGTAGCCCTGGGTACCTATTCATTTCAAAGGCAGCCACTTGTTAATAGTCCTAAATAAGGTACAGATGAATTTCCCACAGGCCTACAAAGCAGCCCGTTGGAATGAAAGGGCCTGATTTTCGAGGGTGGATGGTGGTGGTGGTGGTGGTAGTGTCTTTGTCTTAGAGATGACAGAACTTGGAAGAGAGGACTGCGGCGGGGATGTCTGTAGCAAACCTTGGTGACTGACACTCTCCCACCTCTGGTTTCTGGGACCTTCACTTTGGAGTACAGATTTCACCTGAAAAAGTTAATACTTCTCTGGCTCCTGCAGACAGGGATCTGCCTGCCAGGGTTTCTTTCGGAAAATAATTTTAGGAAAAAGTAATAGAAAAGAAAGCTCCCTCAGCCCCCAATACGTTCGGAGTCACAACAGTTACTGGACTGTATGACCCAAGATCAAGGTGAGAACTCTCTCTCCTCTTTGAATGAGGCTACAAGGCCTGACCCCAAACCTCAGAATACTTGTTTAGGCCTGAAGTAAGAGCTTTTCCCATACATAAACAGCAAGCCCCCCACCAACCCCCCACAAGTGATTTGGTAGTGGGTTAAGTAAGGGTGGAGGAGGATTGACAAAAGCTGATTAATAGGTTCATTGTCACTTAAATGGAAGCCCTCCCCTCTCGCCTTCTAGCCACCAAAGTTTCAAAGACCCTGCTGTGATTGCTTTTCTGGAAGGCTTTTGTCGCCAAAGTGTGTGAAGTTTCTCGGATTGGAGGAGTTGGAAATTTTACACGAGCCAAGAAGGATTGCTGTGCCGGCAGCTGGGACGCATCTGTAACGGTGTTAGTTTGCCTGAAAGCAGAAAATTAGCGACCCCAAAGCCCTGCTTGGCTGTTTAGTCTGTAGAAACGACAGGGCGGAGCAGAAAGAGAGGGAGAAGGGAGACGCACCCCTGGAAAGAAGTTCGCCGTCTAAAACTGGGTTTCTTAGAATACAAATCTTAAGAGGCGCAGTCAGTGCGTACCTTCCGCCGGCTCAGGGCCCATCAAAGGTCTGGCGCAAAAGAGGAGGCGCTCGGCAAACATGCGCATAAGCGGGAAAGAGAGGAAGGGAGGTGTGTTCCTGGCCACCTGGCCCTCCTGTGCCCACGCCTTTTGAATGAGCATAGTGAGAGAACTCAGAGCGGGCTCTGTCTTGGGGAAAAGGAACCTTCCCCTCCCCGCTTACCCCCTATAACACAGAGCCTACAAAATGGCAATATGATGAGAAACAAAACAGATTAAAACAAAAATCTAGATCCACTCCATTATTGAAAGTGCCACTTCAAGCTCTTAGCAACCGATATTTGGCCTACTGGCTGAAAAAATGCCTGACAGAACTAAAGTTCATGAAAAAGAGAAACATCTGAAAATAAAGTGATCCCTCATGTCCCGGACTGGGAAGGCAGGTCCGCTTTTGGTGTCAGCTGAAGTAGGGAGTTCTATTTACTAATTATCTTTTTTAAATGTGACAGCAATCGTACAAAGTTGGATTTCCTTCGTTCCTTTTGTCTGTGACACCCTTTAAGTGTCCCTTGGTTTAGGTAATCTAGAGTGTGCAAGTAAGTGGGTTGGGGAGCCATCCATCACCCCCGCCCCAGCAGAAATGCAGTAAAACCATTAGCGTCAAAAGGGGCAGTAAACAGCAAGTTGTCTCTAGAGGAAAGGCGGAGGTTTGCCCAGACAGCCCCGGCGGGGGTTGCGGTGGGATATGCTAATAGTGCGGGGCCACTGGGGCCGGCCTCCCTTCCCCAAGAATATATAAAGATCCTCAACCCCAGCGCGGCTGACCCAGGCCGCCAGGCGTCTGCCCTTGTTAATTACCGGAGAAACCGACCAGGGAGCTCCGCCCGGGACTCGCCTGCCCGCAGCGGCGCCAGGCTCCGGTTTCTCCCCTATCTCGCTGCTGCCCAGGTGCACCTCCTTCCTCTCCGCAGAAGATGGACATGATGGATGGCTGCCAGTTCTCGCCTTCTGAGTACTTCTACGATGGCTCCTGCATCCCGTCCCCCGAGGGCGAGTTCGGGGACGAGTTTGAGCCGCGAGTGGCTGCTTTCGGGGCGCACAAAGCAGACCTGCAGGGCTCAGACGAGGACGAGCACGTGCGAGCACCTACGGGCCACCACCAGGCCGGCCACTGCCTCATGTGGGCCTGCAAAGCATGCAAGAGGAAGTCCACCACCATGGATCGGAGGAAGGCGGCCACCATGCGTGAGCGGAGACGCCTGAAGAAGGTCAACCAGGCTTTCGAGACGCTCAAGCGGTGCACCACGACCAACCCCAACCAGAGGCTGCCCAAGGTGGAGATCCTCAGGAATGCCATCCGCTACATTGAGAGCCTGCAGGAGCTGCTGAGGGAACAGGTGGAAAACTACTACAGCCTGCCAGGGCAGAGCTGCTCTGAGCCCACCAGCCCCACCTCCAGCTGCTCTGACGGCATGGTAAGAGAGAGCTCTGCACCTACTAGGCCCTTCCAATCTTTTACAAAAACCTTTACATCTCATTTAGGCCAGGTGTAGCGACCAAACAGCCAGTAGTTATTGGTGGATAGTTGGGGGTGGGAATGGGGAGGCAGGTGCTGAAAGAGAAGAGAGGTGCCGCATTTAGACAGATGCCAGGAAACAGGTAGCTGCGGACCAGGAGTTTAGTTTGACTTCCTACCAAGTTCTAAGTGTACATCGTAGGAAGAGGCTGTCACGTGAGATAGGTGGCTGTGAATGATCAATCAGATGTTTTCTCTACAACTCGGTTTATTTCCAATATATACCACCAGTGGCCCCTGCCATACACTAACATCTAAAGGCAACTGTGTGAGGCTTCCACTGTCCCGCAGTTTGTAACTTAAGAGAGAAATGCCCGCGTGGCCCGAGTCCCTGCTCTGCTGAGGCCTGGCTGGAAGATGTTGATGCATTCTTTACAGAGGGCGTTTGCGCCAACGCTGCCAGGTTTTAATGTGTTTTTGCCCTGGGAAAGTGCTCTCTCTCTCTGAATTAGTGTGGCTTCCTTCTACTCCAATCCATTTTGCATGGTTAACCCAATGCACATGGCTGCTGAATTCCACCCGCCCTCTTCCTTTTGCTGCCTCTGTCCTCTTCTCCAAGCACAGAGATTGACCTCAGTGCCCTTGCAATTTGGTGAGGCTAGCCCTTCCTAAATCAAGGCAATGAAGGTATTTGACAGCGGTCAGTTTATGGAGCTGGTGGGCAAGCACTGCCTCACCCTACGTCAGAGCATCTTTTGCCAAGACCTGAAAACAAATGCCTTCTTTTGTATCTTTTATTATAGCCCGAATGTAACAGCCCTGTCTGGTCCAGAAAAAGCAGCAGTTTTGACAGCGTCTACTGTCCTGATGTACCAAATGGTAAGAATTGATGACCTCAGAGGAGTTTAAAAACCAGTTCAACTTCACAATTCAGCCTATCAAAGCAGAGTCTGTTCTTCCATGCGGTATTGGGAAGAGGATAGAATGGTATTTACGGCGTTTTGGGACAGAGCAAAATAAACACACATCTTCTGCTCAAAATCCCCCTAACAGATACATCCATGCACACACACAGACATAGGAGCTTTTGCTTGAAATATTACCCGGGTGCTTCTCCACTCCCCACCTTCATCCCCATGAATTGCTAGATATTTGTTGCAAATTTCTACATCAGGCTTTCTGTGACCACCTGACCTCTGGGTTTCAAAGGAGCTGACCTGCTGCTTAAGAGGCAACATAAGCAAGGATTTTTTTTTTTAATGGTTTTCTCTTTGTATCCTTAGTATATGCCACAGATAAAAGCTCCTTATCCAGCTTGGACTGCTTATCCAGCATAGTGGATCGGATCACCAACTCAGAGCAACCTGGATTGCCTCTCCAGGACCCAGCATCTCTCTCCCCAGTTGCCAGCACCGATTCTCAGCCTGCAACTCAAGGGGCCTCTAATTCCAGGCTCATCTATCATGTGCTATGAACTAAAAATCTAGTCTAGATCAGTTCTGCCAGGAGGGCCTATTACACAGGAGGAAAGATGCCAAAAAAGTCCAAAAGCAAGACAACCTGTAAATAAACATTTCTTTGCAGTTGTAAATTTGTAAATATTATCTTGCCACTTTATAAGAAAGTGTATTTAACTAAAAAGTCACTATTGCAATTAATACTTTCTTTTCCTTTGTCTTGCTTTAGATATATAGTTCCAGAGATACTATTTCTTATAGGGGGCAGTTCATCAAAGGTAGCTTGTTGCAATGCTTAACTTATACTTTTTATAAATATTGCTTATCAAAATATTACATCTGATGTTTAGAGCTTTATTTTTTTTCTTTAAAACTTTAGAATAGCTGTAAATCAGTTATAGGGAGTTTTAAATATATTTAACTTTTTTGCTTGTCTCTTTAATCCTTTGATTATATTTTGTAAAATAAAAATATAACAATACTGCCTAATGGTATATATTTTGATCTTATAAGAAATGCATCTTTTTAATGTAAGCACAAAATAGTATTTTGTGGATGATTTCAAGATATAAGAGATTTTGGAAATTTCACCACAAATAAAATTGTTTAAATGAAGAAACATTTTGGTTTATGATTTTGGTGAAAGAACCCCCTAATGGATTTGGCAGTCATTGATATGATATTTTTAAGTTGGGGCTGAAAATGCTGAAACAGTTGGTTTTGTGGATAAATCTGAATATTTACCATCTCATGGACTCACCTTAGGTCCTGTTGGTGTCACAGATGAAAATACCACATTTCTATTTTAAGCATACTTCAAGGGAGCCTACTAACTAAAATTTTTCTTTTACCTTAATGTTGCCCCATATAATGTCAAACTGTGTGTGTATGTGGGGGAAAGATAGAAGTTATTCAGGATAATAAAATATTTTTAAACAAAAAGAATGTACAACATTACATCATTTTAATATCTACAGTACATTAGAAATCATGAGTTAGGTCATATTTATCTACTTGCCTGAAAACATCTTGATACATTAGTATATTAATATTGTCAATAAAATATTTAAAGGTATTGAGCGTTTTTTTTGTATTATTAAAGTGCTGGCATAAGAAAATTTACACAAACCATAGTAAAGTGAAGCAGACTGCAACTGCCCTCCTCCTTTTCACAGCCTTTTTGATTTTATTAATCATATGTTATGCTTCTGTGTTGTGTGTGCGTGATGGACATGTGTCTTTTATTGTTCATCATTTAAATCTCCTTTAGAATGAATTGAGATGAAAACAGAACAAGTGAGTGGAAAATTAGATAGCCAATCATTGGAATAATTCTCACAAGGTTACCATTGAGAGAGATAAAAAGGGAAATATCCTTGAAGCATCTAAATTGGCTGTTCACAGAGAGCAAATAAAGATAATGATCTTCTCTTCTAATTTGTAAATTAGTTCAAAATTTCTAAGTTTGTAGTTACATATATTCACCAGCCAAAGCATATGGACTCTTTGCTGGAGGTTGGCAGTTGTACTGTTCTTAGGAAGGTTTCCCCTTCTTTTCTTTTGCTTGTCCAGTCACCAGGCTTAAAAGAATAGATATTATTCCATAAAGGAAAGGAAAGAAGAGGGGGTGGGTTCAAAAAATATTGTAGCCACTGTCACTCTGTTAGCATCATGCCCTGATATGGGATGCTGACTTTACTACACAGGTAAGTCTTTCTTTATCCATGATTGGACAGTGTGAGGATTTGAAGTGAAAAGAATTCAAGAGGGCATTATAAAGATTCACATATAATTTCAACTTTAGTTTGAGCGATTCACTTTTGTTATTGTTAGACACTGTCTCCTTCTTCTACTTCTATGAAGAAGTGGGAAATTTGTTGTTGCTCTTAGTAGAATTAGAATAAAAAGAACTATCCAAAGATTGTTTTTTAAAGTTCAATTTTAAAACACATTACCATATCCATTTAATAAAAGTAAGCAGAGAATATAATGTAATTTTTAATTCAAGTGAATAAAAATTAATTTTATTTCCAAACTTCAGTTACTTCTATACTTGTAAATGTATTTGATATTCTCAGTTAATATTATAATGCCTCAAAGTATTTAGTTAAGAGTTTTTCAATGCTCTGGATATAATACAGATGGTGATAAATGTATGATTTAATACAATACTCTCCATGCCAGCTTGCTTGGATTAATCTCGTTTCCAATGGACTAACAGTGAAGGCTGGTGTCTACTCAGTAAACAGCTCAGCACAACACATCACATGCAGTCATATATACTTTTCTGACAAGGGCCTTTGGGAGTTGGTTGCAGTAATCCAGACCCATTCCCTTCTCAAGGAAAGTCGGGGAAAAGAGGGGGAAAAGTGTGACACTGACAAAATAGTCAAGTAAGGACAGGATTTTGCCATCTCCAAAATCCCCTGGAGTGAACAAGTGGGCTGCCACTAAGCTTATATCAGACCCCCTCAGCTGGTGGAAAACATGCCACTAACAGTCAAATTTATAGGAAAACATCCCCTTTCCCATTTGCAACCTGATGGCGAGGAGGTTCTCAGGAAAAAAGAGTCAAAAGAGACTCCTTTCTCCTCATGCCTGAGAAATGCAAGTGCACTGGGTTACAGAGGAAAACTTCATCCAGTGAGGTTATGGAAATTGGGAAGTACTATGTGGAAGCAAGTTGCTACATAAATCAAGGTGTCTTGATTGCCCCTATTTTTTTTCTCATTTGAAAAATACAAGTCAGATAAAATTACTGGCTATGTTATAGCCCTAAATTCTTCTTTAAGATGGCATTCCTACAAATACTTAATCTGACAGTGGTATTTCCTGAAATCCTCTCTTTGAGGTTACAACAGTTACTAGATTAAAGAAGTAATTTAATTCTCTGACTTTCAGAGGTGGTATTTCTGGGAATGATATTAGAGTATAGCTATTTGGAACTTTAGAAAATCCCTGCTCAAATGGCAAAGTACCCCTGAAAATGTCACCACTGAAAGTTACCACGTTGTCACAAAAAGCACAGAACATGAAATTTATTTCTTTAACAGTTCTGATTTGATATTAGTTGACTAGTGATTTAATTGTTTAACATGGTACATTTGCTGAGCAAAGGATCTAGAATTTAATGCAAAGTCTAAACTGGGTCTAAAATTGCTAATGTATTGCTCTCTTTTTAATTTTACTTGCCATATTGTAAAATGGAGTCAATGATAGTTTAAGATAACATTATATAATAAAGAGTTACCACTAAAATTGTTATAGTCTTAAAATCTTATAGAAATAATCCTTAGTAAAGGGAAAAACAAGCCAACTCTTATCTCCTTTTATGCTACTTAATTCACTTCATTACAGATTGAGTGAACCCTAATGATAAACCAGCAACTAAAAATTGAGTTTGCATTATTATGCAAATAAAGACGTAGAAGCTTAAGGAGTTTAATAATTTTCCCAAGAACACTCTGTTTGGGCTGGCTATTTGGGCCTTTTCACAGCACATATTCCAGGAGGCTCAGGTGGAAATCACAAGGTTCTTTATGATATAGCATGAAAAGTCCCAGAACATTGTGTCTATTGCATTACTCTGGTCAAGCAAGTTACTAAAGTCAATCCAGAATCACTGAGAAGCAAACTAAACTCCACTTTTCAGTGGAAGAAATAGTAATGAATCTGTGGCCATAGTTAATCTACCATAATGACTAGTATATACTTGCAGTCTCTATTTCTTTACCTTTCACTGATTCCACTGACCGTAATCTGGCTCTGCCTCTTTCACTATCCATATCATTACAACCTTCAAAACAGAGTGTTCCAGCCCTGGGCAAGCTTATCCTCTAGCCCTGATATCTTCCCTGATCTTCAGACCTGTATATCCAACTGATCTTTAGATTCCTATCATCTCTTGAATGTCTCAATGGTACCTCCAAGTAAACACATTCCAAGTTAGGTTCATGCTGTTCTGCCTCTCTCCCTACCTCTTAACCTGGCACCCTTTCAGTGTTGACTCTCTCAGTGAATGATATCACCAGTTATATAAACATGAAACTTGGGACATATTCCTGATACTTCAATCTCTCTTACCTCTTGTCTAATTCACTACAAAGTCCTACAAATTTATTCTCCTTAAATACCTCTCAATCCAAACTATGGTTATCTCTATCCAGGAATATCGAAAGACCTTCTTAACCTGTTCCCCCATAATTTCTCTGTGCCTCCCATTTCTGGAGACAGCATCCAAGTTTGTCTTTGGGGACTGTCCCTTTCCTCTTCTCAGGCCATGTGGTTCAGGTGGGACTGAGTGTACCTCCAGAAATGAGCCTTACCATGAGTGTGTCCTCTTCCTTGGCCACATGATTGTTTCATGGACGGGAGTGTGACCAAGTTGTTCAATAAGTGTCAGTCCTGGGATATTTGCTGGAACTGTAAGGAAAAAGCTCTCTTTCTGCTGAGGTTCTTATATAAGAGATTTTTTTTACTCTAGGCTGCCAGCTGCCGTATCATCCCTGGGAGAGGAGATCCTGCCTAAAAATAAAGCCAACACAGTAGAAATCAGATCTGTGACACAGAGTGATATATCCCTGAAAATATCATTAAGTATCTGGATCCCCAAATGCCTGAATATCTGCTCTTGGCCATGCTTTACAAGTTTGGAGCCAACAAAGATCTTTTTTCTTAAACCAGTAATAGTGGGAACTTGGTTAACTGAAACAGAAAAATCTTGCATAATGCCATTCTTTGATCTTTCCTATTTATTGCAGCCAGAGCAATCATTTCAGAATATTCATCTCATCATGTCAATCACCCCATTTTCCCTCCCAGCTTATTGCACGTAGGGTATCGACAGAACAAGGCCCTTAATGTGACCGTCAAGCTTCTGCGTCTCTACCTCCTATCTACCTCGTTAGTAGTATGTCTTTCTGGTCAAGTCCTTGTTCTCTCCACTCCAGCTACATAAGAGACTTCTATCAGTCACTACATTCCCTCTTACCAAAGGAGCTTTACACATTCTCTCTGTCTGCAATGCTCTTCCCTCCTCCACTTCCCCTAGTCCATTCCCACTCCTTTCAGACCTCAATTCAGGCATCAATTCTAAGGCAAGATTTTCTTGAACTCTTTCACAGTATCAAGTCCTCGTATCCTACGATTTCAAAATACCATATACCTCTTCTCTGTAGCATGTCTCAGAATTGCAATTGTGCATTAATTAGTGTGATGACTAACATTTGTCTCCTCCACCTTGAGAGCAAGGACCTGTCTTGCTCAACCCTGGACTATATGAGAATTGATATTGCTGAAGCTTTTGTTGTGGAGTGCACCCTTAATGTTCAAACTTTCTTATTCATAGAATTCCTTGACACTATTTTCTACTTTTCTCATAATTTTCTGTTTTATGTTAATTTCTTATACTGACCTCTCTTATTCTGGCCAATTTTCATATATTTATTTTTTAGGGTTCTGTTGTGTGTCCTCTTTTCTTTTTGGTCTACTGTGGACCTTTCCCACTTCCATAGCATCAACTCCCACCTATCTCCTATGTAGAGATGTTTCTACTATTGCTTCAGTCTTACCTTTCCTAAGGAAAGCTGCCCCACATGCATCCTTTGATTGGCTT